TGATCATTGGAGTTTGAGAATCAGTAAAAGAGTTTGTAGAATTCATCAAAGGTATTATTCTCAACACAATTTCTATCTAAACATAAAGCAGATCCGTGGTAGGAATTGAAAAATTATTAATTTTCTACTGTGCATGTTAAGTAAATTCCCAATATTTTGCAAGGGCAGTGGTGGATGAAGTTTTGACTCCACAACAGTTAAGAGGAGATTGGTAATGAATTTTCGGGGTCAGATTCAATAGGAAATGGAGTTACTCGAATGGCAAACTCCTTGCTGAAGGCTCGACTTTCTGGGGAGAGGATATTAAGGTGTTGGGGCAGTGGTGGAAGCTGTACTAATGGACGAACAATTGAAGACATGGACAAAATCGGGAAGATATTATAGGAGTTTGAGTCTGGTGGGGAGACGAGAGAAGCTTATCTTATGGAACATTTTTTTCACCACGAGGTCATAAAGAGATCGCTGATAATAATTATGGAGAATAAGAACGAGAGATTATGGGGCTTGCTCCAAGGGTGTTTTAGCATGGGACTCATAACGGAGAATCAGATGTTCAATGATTTTACAAGAGTGGCTGAGTCTCTCGATGACTTAGCTCGCTAAGAAACTATTCAAACATTATGTCGAAAGGGCTAAGGCTGAATGTTGATTGGACACTTCCTTTGGTGTCAATGGATCCGAACATACTTTGGAGAACGGTTTTTGCAAATGAACAAACGTACACACTGACAGAATGACAAATATGCATCGACATGTAAAATTTATTCTTCAACCAGACTTCGTTTTCTTACCAAGATTGGATGCAGAATATGATCATCTTGTAAGCTTTCAAACATGATATTTATTCATAATTAAAAGTAACAAATTATAGAAAAGCTATTATCGTACTTGAATCTTTCGTAGTTACAACATGATTTTCATGCAGTTTGACATAGATTGGGCTTGGTCATGATGTGAACCATCTTGGTGATATGTTTATTTAGAATGTGTTTGGAACATATTCTTTTGAAAGAATGTATTATTGAATAGCATATTGATGAGAATGTGTGGTTAAAAATGAAGGAAAAGTTATTGATGTGATGAAAAATATTATTTTATTAAAAAATGTGTAATTGAAAATGAGTAGAAGGATGAAAATGAAAAAAATAACGTATACCAAATAGGGCATTAACAAAGATTTCACGTACGTACAATTTTCATAAATTGGCTGCGGCTGGGACACTTCATTCTAGGACCCTTTGTCGAGTCTAAAAGTGTAAATTTGTTATCAACGTGTCCTCTCACAAGTAAAATAAAGCGCATGCACAAACGGAATGGGTCAACTATGATTTACATATATTTTCACAATTATTTTGATTTTTCGAATTTGGTGCAATCAAAACTTTATTTTTTAAAATAAAATATTATTCATTTTCTTTTTCTTCGTTGTCTCATATTTTACTCTATTTTATGCACGATTTACGAAAAGTTGATTACTTTTATATTTTTTTAATAAAGTACAAGTAGTTTTTGTTTTTGTTTTTTGTTTTTTCCCCAAATTCCACCTACTAGCTGCCGCCGATTGCTAGCATAGCAAGCCACCGTGGTGTCGGCACTATAGCACCACCGATTGCCACAGTGCCCTACAAACTAAATAATCTTGATTCCGCCTCTAAGTAAATTATCATTGATGATTAAATCATCGCCGCTATGATCAAATCCATGTATATACATGACTTTGCGAGAGCACAAGGCTTTAAAGATCATGTGAAAGATGAAAGATACCTTAAATTGCGAATTGAAAATGAAATATGCTAACAACGAAATGAAAACGTTAAATTGAACAAGATTACACAATAGACAACCATTTATTCGTTGGAGAGAGAGTTTCTTTTTTTTAGTGATGAAGCAATTTATATATCATAGGCTGAAACACGTGAAATCGAAGGGTATTACTTAATTGTTACTGTTGTTTAGTGTCATTGCAGATATATTTGTTTACGGTATTGTACAATTCTAAGCGTCAAATATAGCAATATCATGGATAAGGTCCGTTTGGGATTAAGATGAACTTATTCAAAACTTCCTTTATTTGGTATGTACAATTTGAGCAATTCTTGCCATGAAAAATATTCAGTGCTGGTTGTCGAGAGAATTTCCTTCTCTCTTTATTAAACATCTTAATACATCCTAAGAAACTAAAACAATATTTAAGGTTTAGGAACTCCTCATGAATTATTCGTTAAGATATTTGTCTGTTATCTTATTTTTATGTAACATACTTGTCATGGATAAGGTTGGTTTGACTATATGCAAATCTTCCTTAAGATGAACAATTATGCCTTTGTTTGTTTCCCATTTTTTGTGCAAAAATAGAAAAAATGTGACCGTTGCCATTGAAAATATGTGAGGAGCAAGTCAAATGTTGTGGCTGGGGCCTGGGTGAGATCCACTAACGGTTGGATTTCTTCTACAAATGAAAAATTAATGGGAAACAAACGGAATGTATATCCTTCTACCGTAAGATAAGTTATTACTAGATTTTTAGAGACTGTCATTTATCTCCTATCAAACATTTTAATACTTTTTTTATGGAAATTAATCAAGGAAAAAACTCTCTTCACCAATATTTCTCTATATAACTCAATAAAACCAAGAAACCAATGAGCTTTAGTACTTGTATTCTTTTCTTCAATTTTCTCATTCGATCAAACTCAATTCAGCTTCTTCAAGTTTTATTCTAGACGAAAAGTTAGTAGACAGAACAAGAAGAAGATGGGGTTGTCAGGCACAATGGAGTACTTGTCTGATCTGCTTAGCACTGTTAAAAATGGTAAGAAAAAGAAGCAGATGAATATTGTATCTCTCCAATTAGAATAAACTACGAGGGCTGTGTACGTAAAGTCAAGAAGGCACTCTCTAGAATGAAAGGTACTTTGGTAAGATCGACTCAACAGTATCACTGTATTCCAAACATGCATGCACGTAATGATCTGCTTGGTTTCAATTAATATCGCAGGAGCGAAATCTGTGGAGGTGGACTTGAAGAACCAGAAGGCAACAGTGACAGGTTTTGTTGATCCCAAAAAGGTGTTGAAAGCTGCTAAAGCAACTGGGAAAAAATCTAAGCCATGGCCATATGTGACATACACAATGATAGCTCACCCTTATGTTGCTGGAGTTAATGACAGAAAGGCAACTCCAAATTATGTTAGAGACACTGATGATCCAGCTATTGCAACTCTTAATCCAGTTGAAGAACAGTACATTCTCATGTTTAGTGATGATAATCCAAATGTATGTTTGAGATTAACCTTGGAATTCATGCTCTTAATCTTTCTTTTGGTTAATTTCTTGTAACTCAGTAATATTTTTATTTCCAATGAATTTAATGCATTAAGATGAAATAAATACCTTTTCTTTTTTTTTTTACTCCGGCAATGCTTATGTAATCGGACCTGAGAAGTCTTGCTCATACTCTCTACTCCAATGAAATTTTTGAGGAAAAAAGCTGAGTTCCTTGCTAATCTCTATCATATTACTATGTTTGGTAACTTGATAGAATTCACTTACAAATAAATTTACTTATAAGTAAGAGAATAATCTACTTTAATCCTCTTTCCTTTAATTCCATCCGTCCTAATCTTAACAAATATTCTCTTATTCAATGTAGTATACTAAATGCACCCTAAATTATTGACATAATACTTGTATATATTGTTTTCAGACCTACCCGAACAAAAAGGTGGGCCACTAGGTTTGTATACTAGTAAGTTTGTTTATTTTATTTATTTTATTGTTTTGCACAAGGTTGCTGGAGACAAAAATAACACCAAAGGACATACCCATTGTAATTAAGAAATTACACGACACTAACGAGATGAAAGCATTCAAGTCTGGTCACAAAAGGGAGTTTCAGATTTGAAATGGAAATACAAGCATAACTTTTTCAAGTATAAATACAGTAGAATTGGTCAACCCTCAAGAATCCCATACTGAAAACAAGAAACGTTGCAACATATTAACCAAGATTCAATAAGTATGCAGAGCAGCATTCTGCCATACTATTATTGACAACAGGTAAGACTTTATTATTGTCTTCGATACTCTTCAATCTGTCAGTAGCTCAATATCTCCTTCGAATCACACGAGGAGATTACTGAAGATCGAAAGAAAAGAAAAAAGTTTGACGTAAATTTTAGTCTCAAATGAAGTTTCGGATGTCTAATGACTTCACATCAGGCATTTCTTCATCCTTGAACTCCTCCCTGGCAAAATAATATAAATCCTCAACATAAAAATTCGTTTTTAGGAAATTTATGCTGGGACTGCTAAACTTGTACATGGAATTTTGAAGACGTACCGCTTCTTCTGAGTGTCCATTGCTTCAAAAGCATCCTTCTTCAGCTCCTCCAGCTGAGCTTTTGCTATTTTGAGTTCCAACTGTTCCTCGTATTTGGGCAGATCTTCTCTACGTATGCCAAGCCTACACGAGAAGAATGGTAAAACTGTAAAATACAATAAGAAACACCCAGATTTTAACCACATAGCAATTTCACTATGCTAGGCAGACTACAAAACTTGTAAACAAAACGATGACCCAGAGTATAGGCCAAATGACACTCCTAACCGAGAATCCAATTGCTTTTACAATAAGAATTTCATGCTCGTTCATGGAGCTTACTTTTGGTTGATCTTATCAAATTTTGTCATTAGGAGGGCAATTCCCTTCTTATCATTCCTCATAAGAGGTTTCTTTAGTTCTTGCTCAACTTTTTCCAATGCATCCATCATCATAGCCTCTGCTCCCAGTTCATCAGTAAGGCCCCTCCTGCCAAAACATTATGAAATGAACATGAACAAAGGAGAAGCGGCCTGGATAAAGAGCATAATGCTTAGCTCTAACATCAAGGTGCTCCAAGAAGAAGGTTTCATCGTGATATTGTCAACATAATGGCAATGAAACAAAAGGGCCATAGAACTATTTAAGCATAAAAAAGAGTTAATATAATAGCAAGAAAATCCCATAACATGGGCGTCCTATGTTAATTCACAGAGTATATGAGAACAGTGGTATACTAGCCTAACCTAAAGAAACTACTGCAAAGGCCTTGAAAATTCAACAATTATAAAATCCCCCAAATTTCAAATGCACATTTTGGAAGGAAGTAATCGTACAGAAAATTCATCCATAAATGTGAAGAAAGGCAAACTTTATATCAAAATCAACGCATCAGATAGAGAAAAAGTACATACTTGATCCTTATCTCCTTCAATGCCAGTAAATAAGATCGAGCATCTGGAATACCTTGTGTTCGTGATTCAATAGTGTATTTGATCCTCTGTGACTCTGAAAACAGATCAGCCCTGCATGTATAAAACAAATCATTAAACAAATAAACAGAACATCAAATTATCAGGTAGACCAAACAATAGTATGCTTAATATAATTTACAAAGAAGGAAAACAACAAAAACAGTAAATTAGGGCTGGACTCCCAAACCTTTCACGTGGTGTGGTTATGGTCTTGAACCTTCAAATTGAGGTTTTGGGTGCCCTAACCAATTTGAATATGTGAATTTAGATCCCCACGAGACAAAAATCATCAATTTGGACATCAAAATTGCATGCAACTATCAGTTGGAGATGAATGTTAAGTGGTAAACAGTTTTGCCATCTAACTGTGATCATGTGCAAGTCACGTGCGATTTTCACTTCTAAAGTGATAGTTTCAGTCATGTGGGGTCTCAGATACATTTATTTAAATAGGTTGGACACTCAAAATCTCACTTTTGAAGGTCGAGTGCCTATAATCACACCATGTTAAAGGTTGGGAAGCTCAGCCCTAATATCCCCCATAAAAATGATCGAACAATTATAAAACAGGTGAGGAAAGGAGAGAAGTCAACATTAACAGAAACACAGAGTGCAAAATAAACGTGATCTCATGAAACATGGATATGTGAGTGAGAACACTAACTACAATACCATGTTTTCAAACTGCTGGCGACCTTCAAGAACAACTGTCTGATATTTATCTGGGATATCTTTAACTTAGTCCACATGCATGGTAATTTAACCAAGAAATAGTTCCCACAAATGAGCAGTGAACAAAATGAACTTCAGAATGAGATGCTCAATTCAGTAGTCAGTTAAAACTGAAGGTGCACAATTATTAAAAATTTACTTCTCTACATCTCTCACTTTCAATATAGAATTTTACTATTATGTTTGTAAACAAGATTAAATATGGAAAAAATAGACGGGCACACTAAACCAAGACTGTCTACAAGAATAGCTAAAAGATCTTACTTCTGTCTTACAGTCTTCATGACTCCGGCATATTCAGACACAGCAGCAGGATTATCAGGATCTATGGTGATCTTCTCTTTTCGGAGAATCCCAAGGGCTGTATCAAATTTCTTTTTCACCTCCAGAAAAATTCCCTTCAACATCTCTTCAGATGTACGTGCAAAGTCAGAAGCTCAAAACTTCCAATATTATACGCAGCATAACATATTTCTTTAATCACATTTATTGGAAATGTTGGAAATGTAAATAGTCACATCAAAAACTCAATGCTCTATAGATAAAGGAAATAATGTATACTATCTGAAACTTTTATTTTCATTTCAGTTTCAAATACCACCATGTTGTAACAACATTGATGTAAAAAAAATTGAAGAACCCACAATAAATCTATTTTTAGAAGAATAGAAAAGAATATCATCATTGACGTAAAAAAATAGGAAATCGCGTCCTTTCATAAACATGAATTGTTAACCATCAGTGCTGCCATCTTTCCTATGAAAAAGAAATCAGTCCAGGTAGCAAACTAGCATCACATTATTCTCTAAACAGAGATTTCACCAATCCCGTCACCATAACTGATTATTATTAGAAAATCTTTCCCAAAGTTGCTATGATGCTATCTAAAGATCATTTATGCATCTAGCTGAACCAACCCTGGTTCCTCTGGTAATGCTTTCCGGTGCTTATCTCACAAACTCATTTCTAATTCTTCAACATGTTTTATACGCGTTCAACAAGTGTAAACTGCTCAGGCCATATTTTTCGGATAGTTCTTTTTTCTGAATTCAGTTCCTCGCCTTTAGAATGATAATTTTGTAGTGTTCAGATTAAACAAAACAAGGGCATTCGATGTTCTTAGTCATTATCAAGAAAGAATCCATGTTAATCCCACCATCAAGACCAGATGTTAATAATCATAAAAAAACTCCAATAATTGTTGTCAGGCTTAACATCAACCATATAGCAACACCAAAACATTTTGACTCACCATCACCCTTCAGCGCAGGCGGAGCAGAACCAGCTGCTTTGGCATATGAACGAGCAGAAATAGCCTTTTCCGGTTGCAGGATCATATGCCCAGTATACACCTGCAAAAATAAAAAACATAAAAAGACCATTTATACAAATCATCCACATTCTATCGAATAAAAAAATATAATAATAATAACGAAAACAACAGCAATAATAATAATAATAATAATAACTAGAGGCGCAAATATACAACATTTTTGAAATGCAAATTTAAATTTCCCCTTCACATAATAATAAACTAAAATCCTACCTATTAATTTATACAAAAGTAAAAACATTTTGATTACTTTGAGGCTAGATCTATTTATTCAAAGGAATTAAAGAAAAGAAAAGATCCAAAATACAATAAAGAGATCGACGAGACCTGACGAGTGGATCTGGAGAGAAAGCGAGTGGAGAAAGCCATTTTCGATTGGAAAAGGCAACTTCCTGAGTCTCACTCTTGCTTATAAGTTTATGGTGTTTCCTCTCTGGTTTTCCAGCAGACCTAGTTTTTCATCTTCATTTCAGGAAAAGATTAAAAGAAAAAAAAAAAAAAATCAATGGTTAATTGTCGGTACAATAATAAAAGCCTTTTACCGATAAACAAAAGAAAACATAACTTGCACGAAGAACAATTAGATAAAACTAATCA